CACTATTGTAAAACCGCAGATCAGTGCTTGAGATATGTTGCAGACCCTGCACTCAAGGATCAGCTAACACCACCCAGACCGGTTATCTGGCCCAACCAGTTATACCATCCCACCCAGAAACAGATGACAGCCAGAAAACCTCACTTCAGCCTACTATGATTCCATCTCCAACCGGACCAGTAAGCACTCCCCACTTCCCAAGCCCCCTACCCTCCAAATTATCTTTAAAAACTCTGCTCCCTGAATGCTTGGGGAGACTGATTTGAGTAATAGGAAAACTCTGGTCTCCTGCACAGCTGGCTCTGCGTGAGTTACTCTTTCTCCATTGCAATGCCCTGTCTTGATAAATCAGTTCTGTCTGGGCAGTGGGCAAGGGGAACCTACTGGGCAGTTAGATTCATTCCATCTCCAGCAAGCGGGCTGCATTCCTTCGAACAAAGAGCAGGCTCCTCACAAATAGCTGATGAGCTCCCCTGTACAGTTTCTTGTCTCTGGAGGCAGCAGGTGGGCTGCTTCCTCCCTTTGGAATTTGCTAACAGCACTGTGTTTGGGAGAGACCCTCTCTCAGCAAGCAAACTGTAGGGTGTGGGGGCGCTTCCTCTTGTGTTTCTGTGATTTTCGGTTCAGGGAGTGAATCACAGGCAGTGAGGCAAGGGCCATTGGCTCAGGATTTCCTGGTGTTTCCTGCCTGGGAGAGCAGCACCACTCTCGGGGCAGCAGCCCACCACTCCTTGACGTCAACTCTTCTAATGAATGGGTTTCCTTTTCCGTTTGGGAAGCCTGGGATCTGCCATCAATCCCGTCGACCCTGTCTTTCTAACCCTGGCACCTCCTGTCTGGGAAGGAGTGAGGGCAACTAACGAGAAGGCGGTGGGTGAGGGCAGGAGGGCGAGGGGACTCAGGGAACAGATGTCTTCTCGTCTGCAGTCACTGAACATGGGAATTCAGGAACCTGGTCTGCAGTAGTAGTGCTGCAGATTGTGAGCCAGCCAAGCAGCTTTGGGATACACTGGATGCTCCCAGGCAGGCTCCCTGGGTCACCTGTGTTGTCTGGGAGGGTCTTATCTTCTCTACTTGTTTTTTGGTAACTAGCCTGCTTGAGACCTCCTGACAGAATGCATGTGCTGTCATCCTATAAATGTAATCATTTAAAAATTGCACAAGCTCTGAAAACCATTAATTACCATTTTTGCAATGTCTCAATGTATGTGTCCTGTGGCAAAGTCGTGGTTGCCTCACTCTGGTGATAGCTTTGTCTGTTTCAAACTAGCCATGAAGCCCAGCAGCTCTCAGTGTGTGGTCTCAGAAGGGACTGGGTCATTCCTTGATGTTTATCCTTAGTGTAAATACTTATTAGCTTGACTTACCATGCTATCAATACTGCTGTCTGTTAACTAGCATTTATTTAAGGTTGGGAACTCCCAGGGAGCCTGTACCATGGTTGTTTATCTTAGTACCTCGGGCAGAAAGCTCCCGGCTCTTCCCAGGATGATAACCAGGCTCCCGTGGCCTACCACGCGGAGCTCACGACCGAGCAGGGTGTGTAGCCACGCAGCAAGTGTTCACTCTGCAACAACTGTGGGCCGGGAACAGTGCAAAAGTGGAACTGGGCAGTGGATGGCCTCATTCTAGTTACTGGAAGTTAGGAAATTTGATGATTCACCATTTCTAACTTGGAAGGGTTGAATCAAATTCCATGTAGCATTAGTAGAGCCATCTAAACGTAAAATAAAACTTAAAACCAGTCTGAAATACTTGTTGTCAACAGTTTGGAAACTCCTTAATGGCACCAAATAACCAACATTAACGTTTGGGTGTATTTACTTTCAGTCTTTCTGAAAGTAAACATATTTCCTCTTTCTTTTTTCTCTATCTTTTCTCTCTCTCTCTCTCTCTCTCTCTCTCTTTCTCTCTCTTTCTTTCTTTCTTTTTTTCTTTCCTTCTTCACACAGAGTTTCCCTCTTGTCACCCAGGCTGGAGTGCAATGGCTCACCACAACCTCCACTTCCCAGGTTCAAGCAAGTCTCCTGCCTCAGCCTCCCGAGTAGCTGGGATTACAGGCATGCACCACCACACCTGGCTAACTTTTTGTATTTTCAGTAGAGACGGGGTTTCTTCATGTTGGTCAGGATGGTCTCAAACCCCCAACCTTGCATGATCCATCTGCCTTGGCCTCCCAAAGTGCTTCCTCTTTCTCTTTCTCTCTCACACCTTTAATAAAAAGCGATGGTCTCTACTCCTTGGTAATTTGGCTTTTACATTTAATGTTATTAACTATTCTTCCAGAACATGTTATTTTTAGTGATAGATGGTCTTCCAACATACTGCTGTATCATTATTTAACCAACCCCTAACCCCTAAGATTTGCTTCCACACTTTGAATATCGTGAACAAGGTTGAGATGAACATTCTTATGGGAATGTGTAATTGATTTCCCTGATAATCTGTGGATGTGGACTTTGGAGTGTTTGTTTCAGTGTGTCCATATCATTTTAACCTCACATCACAGTAGACTATGATTATGTCCTAAAGCCTTTCCAGTTTCCAGGTCCCACGTGGGCCAGCCAGGGAGCTGCATATAACAGATCAGAGCACACCTCTGCCGCCTTTCAGAATGCCACAGGCTTTCCATTTTAAAATTAGCTGCAAAAAGTGTTCTTTGGTCGGGCTCGGTAGCTCACATCTATAATTCAAGCACTTTGGAAGGCCAAGGTGGGCAGATTACTTGAGGTCAGGAGTTTGAGACCAGCCTGGCCAACATGGTGAAACCCTGTCTCTACTAAAAATACAAAAGTTAGCTGGGTATGGTGCGTGCGCCTGTAATCCCAGCTATTCTGGAGGCTAAGGCAGGAGAATCTCTTGATCCTGGGAGATGGAGGTTGCAGTGAGCCAAGATCGTGCCACTGCACTCCAGCCTGGGCAACAGGAGTGAAACTCCATTTCGAAAAATAAAAACTGTTGGCTGGGTATGGTGGCTGACACCCGTAATCCCAGCACTTTGGGAGGCCAAGGTGAGTGGATCACAAGGTCAAGAGATGGATACCATCCTGACTCACATGGTGAAACCCCATCTCTACTAAAAATACAAAAATTAGCCAGGCGTGGTGGTGCATGCCTGTAATCCCAGCTACTCAGGAGACTGAGGCAGGAGCATTGCTTGAACCTGGGAGGTGGAGGTTGCAGTGAGCTGAGATTGCACCACTGTACTCCAGCCTGGGCAGCAGAGCAAGACTTCATCTCACACACACACGAAAGTGTTCTTGGTATATGAGGATGTGCTCCTTCAGCTTTTTGGGCATAGAACTGTGTGTTGCCAGGGGCCAGTGATATGTTTGCATGTGGGCACATCAGGAGGGTGGAAGACTCTGTTCATCTCACGAAGACTTGCTGAGGCTGTTCTGTGCCATGGAGCTCCAGCTTCCAGGGCTAACAGGGTGAAAAATGGTGCCCCCCTCTGGTGGGGATTTTCCGTGGTTCTGTGCACCTCAGTGAGTCAGTGTTAACTGGGTTACAAGACTTTGTACAAGAACAGACTTTGTTCAAGTTTAATACCTTAGGGGTGTTGCACATACCTAAAGAACACCCTATCAACTACAGCCTCAAGCTGTAATTTCCCCACTTACCAGTGAGGAGTCAATTGTTATGTTTTTTTTGTTTGTTTGTTTTTGTTTTTAATAGAGATGGGGTTTCGCCATCTTGGCCAGGCTGGTCTTGAACACCTGACCTCATGATCCACCCATCTCGGCCTTCCAAAGTGCTGGGATTACAGGTGTGAGCCACTGCGCCCGGCCCATTATGATTATTTTTTGATGGAGTTTTGCTCTGTCATCAGGCTGGAGTGCAATGGCACAATCCTGGAGTACTGCATCCTCTACCTGGTGGGTTCAAGTGATTCTCCTGCCTCAGCCTCCTGAGTAGCTGGGATTACAGGCACCCACCACCACGCCCAGCTAATTTTTTGTATTTTTGGTAGAGATGGGGTTTCATCATGTTGGCCAGGCTGGTCTTGAAATCCTGACCTCAGGTGATCCCCCACCTCGACCTCCCAAAGTTCAGGGATTACAGGCGAGAGCTACTGTGCCCAACTCAGGAGTCAGTTTTGACAGCCGGTGGCCAGGCTTGATGGCTCATGCCTGTAATCCCAACACTTTGGGAGGCTGAGGGGAGAGGATCGCTTGAGCCCAGGAGTTCAAGACCAGCCTGGACAACATACTAACACCCCCAACTCTACAAAAAAATTTAAAAATTAACGGGCATGGTGGCACAGGCCTGTAGTCCCAGCACTTTGGGAAGATCACCTGAGCTTGGGAGGTCGAGGCTGCAATGAGCCAAGATCATACCACTGCACTCCAGCCTGGGAGACAGACTGAGTCTGTCTCAAAACAAACAGGCGAGGTGCGGTGGCTCACACCTGTAATCCCAGCAGTTTGGGAGGCTGAGGCATGGCCGGGGGGTGTGGATCACGAGGTCAAGAGTTCCAGACCAGCCTGGCCAACGTGGTGAAACCCCGTCTCTACTAAAAATAAAAATATTAGCTGGGCGTGGTGGTGCATGCCTGTAATCCCAGCTACTCAGGAGGCTGAGATAGGAGAATTGCTTGAACCTGGGAGGCAGAGGTTGCAATGAGCCTAGATCACGCCGCTACACTCCAGCCTAGGCGACAGAGCAGGGCTCTGCCTCAGAAAAAAGCAAGCAAGCAAGCAAACAAAAGCTTTTCTGACGGTGAGTTGGAGCCAAGGTGAGTTGAGCCTCTAGGCTGCACCCTTTCCTCCGCGGCCTGTGACGAGTGACTGCAGGAATGCAGGCCGCCTGGCGTTCTCGCGTGTTTAACGGGCAGACTTCCTACCCCCCTCGTGCGGCGTGACCACTGTCCCTCGCCTGTGCCCCCAGAGGAGAAACTGAGGCTTGGGGGCGGTGTAGGGCCGCCCTCCCCGGGCCGGGGCTTCCGCGCCTGCGCGCCTGTGCCCCTGCGCCGTGTCCACTCTCGCCTTTGTCAATAAAGTTAACGCGCGTCAGGAGCGGAAGCGGAAGCGGCTAGTCTCCATGGCGGTGGCGGCGACAGCGGCTGCAAGACCCGTGTTTTGGAGGCGACTGCTGGGCCTCCTGCCTGGCCGCCCCGGGCTGGCCGCGCTCCTGGGACGCCTGTCCGACCGCCTCGGCAGGAACCGGGACCGCCGGCGCAGGAGGTGAGAGAGGCGGCCGGGGCTAACAGCGCAGCCCTAGAGGCTGCGGCCAGGCCCCCCGGCGCTCAAACTTCCCGGGCCCGGCGTCCTGGGCATCCGCAGCGAGTCCTTCCCGGGTCCCCGAGCCAGTTTCTGCCTCCCGGGGCTCAGCGCCTGACTTATGTGCTTCTTCACTGGCCTGCTTGAGGGAGGGTGAACGACCCGTGCGCCACTGTCGGTCGGGTCCAGCCGGCGGGCCTCCTGCGCAGTCCTGGGAGTCCTTGCTCCCCCTCTACCTTGTGCTTGGTGGCGAGCCCCGGCCACTGTGCACTTACACATTAAAAGGGGCACTGTGTGTACATGCAGGGAGCTTCAGTCAAGCTCCAAAGGCAATGTTTATGTCGTGGTTTCGGTCCCAGGATGTGAGTGTCAGAGTTAAGAGGGGTCTTTGCCTTAAGTAATCCTGGCTGTGAGGTGACGGCGTGAGTGAATCAGCCTTGCTGGGATTTTGTGTATGCAGCGTTTCTCACATCCTGCCGGAGAGAGCTGTGAAGCAATCCTTAGTAACATTCAGGCATGGGAAGAGGAACCACTCGAAACATTTTTTACACATTTCAAAGGGCTTGTGTTCTGGAAAAATACTGAAGTTATTATGTAAGTGATGAAGTAGGCTTTGGAGCAATTTGTTCAGGCAGTGGTCTTTTAAAATAAACATTTGCCGAGAACATGCTGGCCTGAGGCTCGATAATATTAAAAAAAAAGGGGGGGGAACAATTCTTTTGTGTGCAAATAGTTTTCTTACTTGAGCCTTAAGCTTGATCTTAAAAAAAAAAAAAATCTTAGAACTGCTTCCGTTAGTTGAGGTTGCATTGTGTTAGATTTTCTAACTGTATCTGTACTCCTTGGGTGAGGTTGGCCTCCTGGGGTGAGAGATCTAGTACAGAGATCTGGAGTCCAGTCGTGTGCTGATTCTAGGTACAGAAAAGAGCTTGCTTCATAGTGATCTATGGCGGAAGATTTTCATCGAAAACTCAAGTTTGATTTAGGGGAATCTTTAGGTGATAGAATCAGGGCAGGATGGAACTCTTGGAAACCTACTGCTCAGAATGGCTCTAAGTTTCACAGTGTTAAACCAGTGGGACTGGGGCTGTAAAAGAAATAGCCTCTCCATTTTCTGCGTTTTCATGTTTTCATTGTTTAGCAAAAGACCAGCTCATCTTAGTGGGCGGTGAAGTCAGATGACTTCTGTGTCCTGGCATCAAACCACTGAGATTTGGTTTACAGTTTTGAAAAAATGTTCTGTCCTCAAAGACAAGATGTTTAGATGACTTTGTCATTTCCCCCTATATGTTTAAACTGTATGAAAAACACTTCAGTATTGATCATTGTTCAACATTGGAATTGATTACTAAAGGATGTTGGGACAGTTGACACAAATTCTTTTTTAAAAATCTCTCATGAGTGTGCTTATTTGTTTTTTGGTGTTGGCGGGCAGTTTGGCAGTGGAGATAGTCTAAATTGACTTTCTAAAGTCTTTTTCCTGAGTAGTATGAGTGGATGCAGTTTGTGTGCTTTCGTCTTTCTTCATTAAGCTGAGAGAGAAGATTGTTTCTCTGGGACAGCAGTTCAACCAGCAACTCAGTTTCTTGGGCATTAAGACAGAAGTTCTTGTTTTATAATCCTTGGAAATAATGGCTATGGTGGGACCAAGGAATAAAACCAGCATTGAGTGGTAGTGTAGGTTTCTGAGCCTTTCTTTGCCTTATTCGGTGCAGTTTTTTCTGAATCGTTGTGGCTTTGGTGTTCGAGTTATTCATGTGTGTTGTGGCTGCTCACCCCTTATTGGCTGCTGACTTTCATTTCTTCTCCTTTATTCAGTTGCATCTCCCAATTTCTCATTCCCCAAATGATGTGGTTTCTTGTAACTCGCTGATCATCGATTCACTGATAATAGTTGTGTGCAGTCAGGAGCTTAAATTATTTTATGGTTTAGCTTGTCAATCTGAGTCAGCTGTTGGAGGGCCAGTGAACCCTCGTGAGGAGAACGTTCCTTTTACTGCCGTGGTTTCCTTTCAGGCATAGAGACAGCCACAGAGACAGAACTCTACTTAAAATTATTTCTAATTAATGATTTAGAAGTACTGTCATTTCCTCTTAAGCTAGCATCTGACTCATTATCATTAGGGACCACTGGGTCCATTAATTTATTCATCTTGTGTGTATTGAGCACTGCTGTGCTGTGCTAGGTACTCAGGAAGCAAAGATGAAGACACAGCCCCGCCTCCAAGATGCTCAGCCCCATAAACAATTATAAGAAGTAGGTAGAAGGTCATGGCAGTGCCTTGGAGAGGTCATGGAAAGCTTCCTGGTGCAGTGGCTCAGAGCTGTTTTGAAGGAAGGGTAGGAGTAGGCAGGTTGGGTGAAGAAGAGGGGGAGTGGATGTTCAAGGAATGACAGTGTGTGACATGGACTGCAGCAAAAGGCAGTTCTGAGGTCCCGCCAATACTGAAACCATTTCCAGGAGCTGACTGGGGGTACCAAGTAGGGGTTGGAGGGAGGGAAGAAGAGGAGCTAGGAGCAAGCCTGGGTCACAGACCCAGGAAGACAAGTTCTGAGATTCCATGTATAATTTCTTTTGATTCTGGTTCAGCCTGAGATGGTGGGGGCTTTTATATGAAGTCAGGGGCAGTGGGAGCAGAAAAGAGGGCTGGGTTAGAATCAGGCTGGGTCCTGATGGAGCACATGGATACTGATACGTTTCACGAAAACAGGGAGTGAAAAAGAGGCTCAGGTTTTGAGGATAACGGATCTCGGCGCACTACAACCTTTGCCTCCCAGGTTCAAGCAGTTCTCTGCCTCAGCCTCAGGAGTGTCTGGGATTATAGGCGCGTGCCACATTTGGGTCATGTTAATCAGTACCCAGGTTTCTCCAGGTGAGCTGTTTAGTGTCCAATTGACTGGCAGAACTGGAGCTCAGGAGAGGGAGATGCATGCTTCAGATGGGGTTTTTTTTGAGTCATCCAGCCACACAGAAAGGTCTTGTTACTTGGAGTAGATGAGACCAAGCGGGAATTATTTCATGAGGGCATTAGTTCCTGATCTTGAACTTGACTACCATACAAGGAAATATTTTATCTGTGGCTTACTTTTTTTCCTGTTTAAACTATTTTCAGTTTTAGCTATCTGTGCAGAATTACCTTTATGTTTGAAACTTTTTCACAATTCTAGGAGCTTGTGAGTGTGTGTGTTGATGGGTAGGGGGTTCCTAACTTCTCTGAATTTTAAGAGGGATACAGGTGAGCAGCAGATTGTTTTTGGTTAGATTTTCTTCCATTGTAGTGGCAGGTCACTCGTTTAATCTATATGTAGTTTCTACTCCGAGGGACCACCAGATTTCCAGAAGTTACTTTTCTTTGAACTTCGTGATGTTGGGATTCAGTCTTCCTTACTTTTTAGAGTTAAGTATAACTAAACTAATCTTGGTTTATTTATGTAGTATAATGGATGGGAAGGGGATATTTAGAATTAAAGCATGGTTTTTGCAAATAATTCAGGTTGAATCTTGCAGTGAATTTAAAGATTTACAACGGACTGACTTTCCCAGTTGTAGCTTTAAGTTAATGGTACCTGAGTATCCCCGAGCATATTAGAGTTGGTGATGAGTTAGACTCAATCAGTTGTCTGCTGGTAGGCAGATAGAAACTGGCCTGGGATTAAAATGGTCTGAATGGGAATCCCTTTGTAGTAGTGTGATCTGATTAATGTAAATGGGTCAGTTTTGAGGGTGCTAGGAGTCAGGCTGGCTGAAGCCCTTTGCAGTTGTAGAATCTGTGATCGGTTCTCGTCAGGCACTTTGATGTGCCTGGAACATTTGGCTACCCAAGCTGTATTGTGGGTTATAAATATATTTTGGATTTCTGGCCCCCCAGTGTAATTGATTTCCTTTTGGCTCCGCCAAGAGGACAGTCATCTAGTCAGCATGTGGCCAATTGCTGGCAGCCCGGGCCTCTTGTGCCGGACTTGTTATGGGAGTTCAGCAGGCCGTTGGTCTTTTGTAACCTACGGGAATCCACACTCATTTCCCTTCCACGGGGTTAGGTCTTGCATTAGTCAGGAACGGCCGCCTGCTGCCAGGGTTGCAGGAAGTACGGTACCTTCGTGTAGTTTCTGGAGCCTTTCTCAGGAAGTGTTATGACTGTTGCTTTTTCTCATCCGTTCACTTTTTTACATTTAAATAATTGTGATTGAGGGGGTAGGGTGAGTTTTTCTCAAAAAGTAGTTTCTGAAAATATCGCAATCCAGAGAGCTCGGTTTCTTTTAAAAAACTTTTCTGTTTTTCATCGTTTTGTACAGATTTGGATGAGCTCCAGGCCACAGTCTGTACCTTATGGTTAAAGAAGGGCCCCTGGACCTTTAGACCGCGCCTCTGAGGGACACTGAATGACCGACCTGTGTTCGGTACAGAGAGCGCAACTTCCGCCCTGCTTAGCAAAGATAGCCCTGCAGCTTCACTGTACTTTGTTCAGAGTCCCACATACCCTGTTTTGAAAAAAACCCCAAGAAGTTGGCCTGTTACATGTGTCTCATTGGTAGTGGGTGACATTAAGTACTGCAGCTCTAGGGGAAACATGTGTTCTCTGACATGGGGAGAAGCTGGGGGAGGGGCGTCTAAAGGTGCAGTGTGGACCACGCTGTAATTCCCTGGTGTTTGCCTGTCTTCAGTGGCATCCCTTCTCTGAGAACGCAGGAGCTCGGTAGGGCCTCTAGACGCTGCTGACACACAGAGGAGAAGGGCGAGGGGTGCCAGTGTTTTCCATGAAGCAGAGCACGAACAGCTGCAAAATGGTGAAGTGGAAAACCGTCTCCCCACAAAAGGGAGAGTTGACTTCTGTTTTCCCCAGTTTTCTTTTGTAAACAGGTGTCTTCCATAGCTTCTCAGCTGCTTCCTGCTCTCACTGTTTCAGTTTGGCCGATTATTGTGAGCTCAAGTCTCACTGAGGCCTCTAAGGGGGGTTTGTGTGTGT